TTCCCTATCTAGGCATTAGTTTTTCAGGTACTTAGACACTACAGTGATGGAAGCCATGTAAATACTTGGATCCACTTCATTACTTCGGCTGGCTTCTGTTAGCTTTACTGCTTTGGATCCTAAGTATAGAAGTAGAAGCTTGATTTCTTTTTTTTCTTTCTTTTTTTTTTTAAAGAGGCAAACGCATTTTAACTGCAGATGATACTTTGAGCCATTCAATATTATAGCAAAAAGCATATGGATATCTAATAGCTTAGAGGGGAAAAGTCAAGGCCTGTATTGTCTCGCAGCTTTATCGAAACCAGACAGATTACCTTGGGAGATACACACAGGAAATCTTTCTGTTTGGTTGAATCAGACACTGAAACTCCATGACAAATACTAAACTATGTGAATGGAGAAAAGCATGTACCAGAAATAGGCCGGAGAATCGTGTTGCTATTAATAATACTCTATGCTTTTACAGGCATCTGTGCCTTCCACAGTCATAATATACCTGCCCACTTTGTGTAACTTTTTATTTACCACTTCCTTGCAGGTGATGGCATGAAGGATGGAGATTAATAGTTTTCCTACTTCCCAGTATAATTGTAGATTACTAACAAGAGTCTCAGAAAGGGTGCCAAATTTTATGGTGAATCTACACGAAAAGCTATGTGCAATCTCATTGAACCCAATTGAACTGGGGCCTGTTACTTTGTAAGCTTAAGAGAGTAGTCCACCTCAATTGGCTGCCGTTTACTGACTTCTTGTGTACTCTGCATGCATGTACCTACACACATTATCCTAATTTCCACCTCCCAGTTTATTCTCTTATTGAACCAATTGACAAATCCTCTGGAAAAGTGCCATACAGGGTTCCTTTATGCGTGCTGTTATGTCCCATCTTCTCCCTACCAGAAATGTATACCCCTTGCAGCTCTTAGGACACAGAGTATTCATGTCTCAACCAGCTGGAAGTTGAATAATATTTCAGGGCTGTTTTAGAAATTAGGTTTTCACTCATTTTTATGAACTTTTTCATATCTTAGCTCTTATTTCTGGAATACTGCATCGTTATTGATTTTTAACAGGAAATTGTAGCCAAGGCATCCCCATTTAAGGACATTAATAGGAAAAAAAAGGTCCGTTTCAGTTTTCTGACTCATCAGAAGAACATTCTCCTGGTTGCCTGAGGCCAAAGTCTGATTGCCTGGGGAGACAGTATGCTCCTCTTTCAAAGCCATACCAGTTAACATGCTTTGCCATATCGATGTATCTTCACCCATCAATTACTTTTCCTGTCACCTAGCTATCACATGCAAACAAAACAAACTGACACATATATAGCCTATTTTGTGCATTTTGAGTCCCTGCTGCTCAAGTTATCACTTATTTGTAAATCATGAATTTTGGGTTGTCCCTTAGCATCTGTGTTTTCATGAAGTCCCTTACTGTCCCTGGCTTTCCTGACTTCTAGGCCTCTTTTCCATTAGCACAAGAGTAGCTGACTTTTTCAGTGAGGTATAAACCCAAAAAGGTTGGGAATTGCTTCCTCCAGTGAATCAGTGGTTCCACAGACCACTTGTCCAGGCAGATTTCTTGTTCATCCCTGATCGATAGGTTGGTGTTATCTTGTTCTCATTCTCTTGTTCTTTTTCCCCCCACAAATCCCATCTCTAGAATGACAAACATCTCATACTTGGATTAAATGCTATCTCAGTTGCATTTAGATAGGACAGTATTGCTTTGAGGCTTGCAAGTGGTCCTGCTAAGCAGGCACCAGTGCTGTTCAGTCTTTTAATAACCTTTAAGGCAGCAAGGAATTGAAAAAACTAAAAACGTAGTCATGATGCTGATGTTTTGACAACCTGACACCAAAACGAATGTGGCTGATAGTGGATGTGAGTGCAGGTGCCTGTAACACACTTCCATCTGTGATAAGGCTGGATCATTCTCCTTTTCACTTTGTTGACATTACATCATCTTATGTTATAGACTAGAAGAAACATGCCAGTAATATCTTTCTCCTCTTACCCTTTTTAGTTCGAAAAGATCTAAGTGGACTTGATGATGTGACACTTATCAGCCAGTCAGAATGTGGAGGTGAGATATAAGTAGCTATTCTTATATATATGACACGTTTTAAATGCCAAAACAGGCTTTTGAAAAACATGAGTCCCAAATAGCCACTTGGTTTTCAGGATCTTGATCTGCTTAGTTTTACTTACTTAAAGCATGGATCAAAATGTTTTTGCCTGTAATTCAGCCTGAAATTGCTTTGTTATGTATCCTCTTCCACACAGACAAGCTTAGTTTTGTACTTTCCAGGAGCCCAAAGGAGAGTGGACTTTGAAAGTGTAGATTGCATGCTGGTTGCTTAGAGTTCTCTGTATTGAAAAGAGGAACTGAGCTGGGAATTGTTCTGAGGAGGCTGTTGGTAACTTGGAGGAAATTGAGCTCCTGTATAATCTCCAAAACCATGAGTTCTCAAGATTAGCCTTGTATATAAGGCTGGCTCCACACAAAAAGTATTAAGAGATCCTTCATCCAAAATATTGAAACTAAGCAGTCTGTGCTTGACAACTAAAATGGAAGTGGAATAAAATGTGATAAAAAATTCTTGTTGATAAAAGAAAAGCCTTGTGATAAAAAATTCTGAAAGTCTCTTGTGGCAGAAAAGAAAATGAGAGCATCAGATGTCCTTCTGACCTACATTAGGAATGTAACAAATGGTTTAAATTGGCTTAAGTTGAATGTTGTTGGTGGATATCAAGAACATTTGCTAACTTTAAGAGCATGAGTAGAAATACTAATACTTAGCAGCTAGTTACTTAAACTTCTCTGTATATTTGTGATCATGCTTCCAGGTTTCTCCAGTGACAGTGACCTGATCTCTTTGACAGTTGATGTAGACTCTCTTGCCGAGTTAGATGATGGAATGGCATCCGACCAAAATTCTCCCAGTAGAGCTTTTGGTCTTGGTTTTCCTTCTGAAGCCTTAGCACAAAGCAGTGTTGCTTCTGAGCATGAATGGAGCAAACCTGAAGGGGAGAGGGAGAACCGTAGTCTGTTTACTGGGAGCTTAAAACCTAAGGCTGGCAAACAAGATTACTTGGAGAAAGCAGGGGAGCTGATAAAGCTGGCCTTGAAGAAAGAGGAAGAAGAAGATTATGAAGCTGCCTTTGGCTTTTATAGGAAAGGGGTTGATCTGCTCCTGGAAGGTGTTCAAGGTAAGGCTTGTCCCACTGCATTGGACTTATCTTTTGATGTGTTAATCACCTGTCAGTGTCAACAATTTACTATCTTGTAAAGAAGTGGTGTTTTAAATGGGAGTGATACATGCTTGGTTTTCAGGTGGCAGTGAGCTCACATGCTGGATATGTGTATATGTGCAAGTGTTTGTGATTTCATTTTTAATGAGAAACTCGGTGCCTGAACAGTGATTCAGAAGCAAATCTACAAAATGCCAGATACTTGCTCTTCTTTTAAAATTGCTTAAAAGTGAGTTGTAGTTAGGCTTTGCTGTCTAGTACAGCTCCTGTACCTCCCCCTTTATTACATGCAGCTCAATCCTTACATAATATTTGAAATAATTAACTATAGTTTTGGGCATTTGCAGAACTGTTAAAATGTCACTTTATTTACATAGTTAAGTGAAGATTAATTAACCCGATTTTAATCCAACCTCTTCTAGGAAGAAGACGCACAAGCTTCCAAATTCTGCATTATAGAGTTTCTTTTGTCTACAGAAGAGAACATAGCTGTAGACATAGCATGGCACTTCGCTTCTGTAAAGCGTCAGTTTATCTGAAAATGTTGAAGTTAACCAGATTAATATTGGTAAGAGGGTTCTATAGGGTCTACCCCTGCTGCTCAAAGAAGATGCTTCCTCTTTCACCTCTCCTCCCTAATGTCTCAGTTACAACAATTTTTTGGGGGGTATTGGGGCTAGAAGCTATTCAGTAGAACTATAGGTTGTGTTTATGCGTGAGTTCAGTTCCTACATAGTACTCCAACTCCACACCAACTGTCTGAGTAAGAATAAAATCCAGACTTCATTTAACTGTTAGAAAGCACTAACCAGAAATCCACTGGGAATTTAATTTTAATTGTTCAATGGAGAGGCTGGCTTGCAGATATTTACTCTTGTTCACATAGCTGTATAGCACTCATAGATATATAGCGCTCATCCTTTGGAGCTGTCCTTGTATCGTTCTGATAATAGATATTACACCATGTGTTGCTTTGAACACTGGCAGGCAAAAATAATTGGTTTAGTATTGGTGAAAATAAAAGTATGGGAATGGGTCAAGAGTGCATGTTCTTTGCTAGAGAGCTTCCATGCTGGAGAAGAGCTGGTAAAGATCTCTCTTTTGTTTCTTTTGGAGTGATGTCAGCAGGCTGGCTGCTCTGTAGCTTGTTGTGGTTTTTTAATAGTATCCTTTTTCTCCTTACCTGTATTATCAACATGCATTTTATTCTTGACATTAAATGCCTAGAGGATCCTTCTGTTGAAGCAGCCCTCCTCTTCATTCCATACTGATACACTTTACAGGCTTGTGCACTGTTCACTGCTGTTCTTCTGAAGGATGTTCCATTGTATCGTAACTACTACTGTCTGTTATCACAATCCAAGATACTTTCAAAATAGTGTTTGCAGCTTCAGCTTTGAAAGACCTTCCCTAATTATCCACCTTAAATTCTTAGGGTTTTTTTCCTGTGCTCAGAACTTCCTACAAAATCTTATTTTTTTTCCTTCCCATTTCCTTAGTACCAGCTAGTCAAGAAGAAGAATCCTAATTCTCAGTCTTTATTTTTGATCCATCCTTTTCAGCTTCAAAACTAAGTTAGCATGTGAAAAAGATCAGGGGATCCCACTCACTATTTTGCAGCAGCTGTTCTGCAGGTTTGTCCTCTTCCGTGGCACTTGTGTAGCACAAAGGGAATAGAAATGACCTGCAAAGGTATGCAGCGGATGCAGTGGTGGATGCAGAATTAACATAGCCGGCACCTATGCTTTCTTCACTTCTAGCACAGAAGTTATATCAAGTGGGCAGATAGTGTGCCTAGGGCGGCCTGCACTCCAGCTGTCTATTGCTAGAATATTGTCCCTTAGAGTCTGTAGTTGGCTTGCTCAGGTTAGGCTAATTCTAAGATGGGCAGGGGCAGAGCATCTATGAGTTGTATCTGGCTGGTTTCTCAACTTTTCCTCTTTCTGCCCCTTCCCCTTTATTCTGTGACTCTTGAGGGATGGAAAAGGAAAGCCATTCTTGGCTAAGCACTTTTCCTTGGTTTTGACAGATCTAATTGATCCTGAGTCTTGCTGGTTTTGGTGTTTCTGCAGAATGGTAGGGAAACCCTCACCCCCCTCTATAGCTATGGGGGTGTTCAAATACACCCGTTTAAAAATTCTATGGTGCAGCTCAGCATATTCATAATTAATATGTGTTTTTGTAATTCCCTCCCTCAAGGGACACTGGTACCCCCAAAGCATAGATTGGATAACTTTTTTCTCAGTCCCCACTTGGAAGTTGTTTCTAATTCATCATTTTCTTTTTCTTCAGTGTACACTTCTCTAGTATCAGACAGTTTTCATTTAAATAGACTATTACTTTTATAATTGACAATGATAGAGAAACATTCATGGTATTTTGCATTTGTAACCTTGATTCTGACTTTTAAGGCCTGCTAATTTAATTTTTCCAACCTATACCTCACTAATTATTCACTTTCCATGGCTAAAATCTAGACCTAGATCTAGAAATAGTTTGTAAAGGTGGTGTGGTCTTGTGCACCAATAAAATATTTTTCTTTCCTGTCTCTCTCCTAGATTAGCCAAAACATTTTTTTCCCTGATATTGGAGTGGCTTTTATTAACAAGATGCAAATACCCAACACATAGCCTTTCTTGAGAACTACTTCTTGACTGGGATTAAATCTCTCTTCAGTATAAAATGACAATATTTACTGCTGCCACATGGTGGCACCAAGAAAATAGGAATTGACATAAAACCAGAATCATAAAATGCTGTCTATATCACAAGCAAAAGAATCTGTCCCTTCTTTTCATAACTTCATACTAAATTGTTAGACATCTTTTCATACGGCACCTCAGTAAATTGAACACATGGATCAGCAATTTCAGGTTTTCTTCCCACTTGGCTCTCGCTGCTGGCTTGTCCTAGTGGCATAACCTATGCTTTTCTAACTTTAAATATTGCTAATGTTGTTCCTTTAATCTTACAGACTTGCTGTTCTTCAGTTTAAGGTAGTTGGATAGAATTTGTTTGCTGTTTTGCAAAAGTGGTCTCTGCTAATGGAGGTCTCATGTTTCTGATGGACAGTTCAGCTCTATGACTAATGACATTACTCCAGAGGTGAAGAGCTGTATGTACTGGAGCCAAGGAATCAAATCTACATTGACTTTGTTTTCAGTTTCCCTTGTGTATGCAGTGGAAAGTATGGCACTGTTAATGGCACCACATTTGTATTTTCCCTGGTTCTACTTCTGTGACATTTTGGCACTACATTTTTTATGTATTATTTCCATTCTTATTTAAAAGAAACGATAGGAGGCTCAATAAAACAACTTTGAATTTTTATTAAAAAATTATCTTATGATGCAGATTTCCACAAAAAATTAAATGAGCACTAGTCTGTAAAAAAAAAATGTAATAGAGCTGTGTTAAATGAGCACTAGTCTGTAAACCTAGGTGATACTTCTGACCATCCTGAAAACAAACTAGATGCTTAGTTTGTGAAATAAGTGAGTTGAAATGGGAATTATCCACTCAGTTGGGGATAGATTAGTGTTTAAATCGTCTTCCCAGAGAGTGAGGGTTATATGATTAAAATTATTATGGGGCTATGAGAGAGGTTGCTTCACACTCGCTCTAGATGAGGGATTAGTTGGAGTTCTCCAAGTTTCCTGTGCCACTTTAGGGCCACAGTTTTTTGGTCCCTTTGGCTACACTTTTAATACTGGCACTAATTTTCCCAGGTACCTAACAAGGTAGCTCTCAGAAAATCTGGTCTTTTCTTTGCCTTGTGGGGTAAGGATATCCCTGTCACTGTTCCCCAGCTGGTTGACATCCTTCCTTGTGGTATCTCTTGGTTTGTTCTCAAGGCAGCTCCTTGCCAGCCTGATGCTGAGGAGCTTTTCGATGGTATGTCTCAACCCCCTTGGCAGCCATACCTCCTTACTTGAACAGAAGCGTTTAATCCCCATTGTTGCTAATAAATTGCTTAAACTCAGCTCAGTCCCTTGATCCCCTTGTGACTGCTGTACCATGAGGCTTATACACCCCATTGCAGGGCCTAATAGGGATACCAAACCCTTTTCAGCAAATAATGTAGACAGAAATCAGTCTAGTCTAGCGTGTATTTGCTGCCTGCAGGCAAAGTAACTGAAGGCTTTATCACTAGAATGAAATGGCTACAGGCATTATGTGCTGTTATTGATTTGTCTCTAGCTGTGTTTATCCTGACGTAGGAAAATTTTGTATAGGTTTGCAGTTGGGTCCATTGCTGGGCCTGATGCTACATAGCAACCAGCATTTAGACTTGGTTGCAGGAAATATTGCTATACTTAGTTTGAGTTAAAATTTTAACAGTGGATGTTCATAGCATACAGAGGGAGGATCAATCCTGCCAGTGTATTACAAAATGCCTGTCTTCAGTATCTATAGAAGTGTTGTCAAATACAATTAGTAAACATAAGTATATAAAAAATAATCTTACAGATCTTTCAAGAACTGAATGAGATGCAGAAGGCTTGTCCAAACCAACCTGTAATTCCTTTTTAGTATATCTCTTGCAGTAGGCTAATTTATTTACACTTTAACTTTAAAGGAGAAACAATCTCCCAAAAATACTTTTTCTTTGGTTGGGTTCTGAGTGATTTGGATGTTCTAAAAGATTATTCCCCACACCCCACCACCCAAGCATTTTGCTGCTAATAAAAAATAAAAAATAATGTGTGCTGTTCGGATGCACCATAATCATTTTAATGGTGATTTAATTTCTTATCTTATATAGAAAGTGCATAATTCAAAAGGAGTATAAACACTGACATCCTAAAATTGTCATACAATATATTTTAAAACAGATCATTACACTGAAGAATTATATTTCCAATTTAATGCTATCTGCTTGAGCTGCCTAATGTGTAGTTTTTTCTTCCTTACCCTACTTTGCCCTGTAACATTCTCTTGTCAACTATGTGAAGTAA